CACTTTGGGGCTGAGTGCAGTTGGGCAGGCCCCACTGGGAGAGCAGAGGCTGGCTCTGGGATGCTTTGGTGGTGGGTGGTTAGACAGGGTGAGGAGAAGCGCATCCATAGCTCGTCCCATACAGGAGATGGGAGCTATCAAGGAGAAGCCTTGGGCGGGGTGAAGAGAGTGTGAGTCTGGAGTTTAGCATCAGAAATATGGGAACCGGGGTGTCTGTAGGATGGCCAAGTGCTATGGCAACTGGATAATTCAGGCTGGAGTTGAGAGAAGGACAGGAGGTAGAGACTCTGGAGGTATCTGGACACTTAGGGGAGAGACCTATAGAGAAGAGAGTGAGGAGCAATACATGTGGTGCTGGGCAGAGGGGAAAGAGGAAGACAAGGAGACAGTGAGCTCACAAAAGGTGGCAGAGGAGGAGTGCCCACTGGTCCTGCAGCATGGAGGTCATGGGAATGCCTTGACCAATGGCTGGCATCTGCACCCCAGAGGGAGGATGAGCAAATGTGGGAGGAGGGGACAGCAAGCAGAGTTTTTGCTGTGGAGGGAAATAGGAAAGGGAGCAGGGCTGGAAGGGAATAGAGGATCAAGGAATTTGGGAGGGGTAGGGTTGTTTATAGGATGGAAGATGGAGGGTTTGGACTTGGGAGGGGGGAAGTGTCAGAAGGTTTCCAAGGCCCAGGCAGGGAGTGAGGAGTTTGGATGTAGGAAGATGATCTCCATCTAATGGCTTTACTTCATTAATGCTGACAGTGAGGGAGGAGGGAACACCCTGAAAACTTCAGTCCAAGGGCCCATTAGGGTCTGCCTACAAGACAAGAAAGGGAAAGAGCTCTGGCTTTGCACTGCATGCTGAGCCAGTGGGGGCCATGGTGGTGCTGCAGTGTTGGGCTGGAAGGTGAGAGGCAAGGAAACAATCCGAATCATGAGCCAAGGGCCACACGGGTGAGGCCAGGAAGAGGTATCTATGGGGAGGGGTCCCTGGACTGGAAGTTTTGATGAGGCTTAAGGACTTAGAGGCTGTCGGACAAGGGCACCTAGCAAGAGGCAGAGGGGATGGGGAGAGCAGCACAGGAAGGCAGGAACTCGGTGATGGCGTAGCTTCTGGTAAGGACCAGGTCCAGGGTGTGCCCAGGAAGTGAGTGGCTGAGAGGAGGAGGGAGGACAGTGGAGATGAGGACCACAAGGGCCAGGACACTGGTGAGTCATCTCTGTGGATGTTGAAACCATGGGGAATGGCCTGAGTTGGGGTGGCGGGAGCTGGAGAGCCAGGACCAAAGAATGAGGGGAAGTAACCAGGACAACAGCTAATGACAGCTTTAGCAGGGAGCAGGTGGTACCATCAGAGAAGGGAGATGACCACAGGAAGCTCTCCGCTGCCAGGCATGTGCCGTGGAGAGCACTACTACCTCAAGGGGCAGTGGTGCTTCAGAAAGCCAGGTTTCAGTTAAGGCAGAAGGGATGGAGGAGGACAGTGAGTTCTACAGCACAGTCTGCTGATCATACAGGGCCTGGTGGATGTGAGTGAAGACAGGGCCACTGGGGCAAAAAAGGAGAGACTTGCACAGATGGATAAAAGTGTTGGCAAGGACAACAGATGGTCTGTCTGTTTAGTACAGTGATGCAGATGCTTCCTTTGGTGGTATGGTGGCCTCTAGGGAGGAAGATCCTACAGGCCCCATTCGCCATCCATCAACCCACTCCAGCATCCACCCTTCCACCCATCCACCCCCATCACCTATCCACTCCCATCCACCCATCCACCCACAATCCAACCATCCACCCCCCCATCTACCCATCCACCTCCATCCACCCATCCGCCCTCTGTTCACCAACCCACCCATCCACCCATCCTCCCACAATCACCCACCCATCTACCCCATCCACCCATCCACTCCCATCCACCCATCCACCCAAAATCCAACCATTCACCCTCATCCACCCATTCTCCCACAATCCACCCACCCATCCACCTGTTCACTCCCATTCACCCATCCACGCTCCATTAACCAACCCACCCATCCACCCATCCTCCCACAATCCACCCACCACCCATTCATCTACCCATCCACTGTCCACCCACCCATCACTCATGCATCATTCCATCCACACTCCATCTACCCACCATCAATCCATCCAACTATCCATCCACCCATCCACCCTCCCACCTACCCACCCATTTATTCATCTGATCATCCATCACCCATCCTACCATTACTGAATTCATCCCCTACACCTTCGGTGTGCATCTCCTCTGTACTGAACTTAGGAAGGTGAAGAAAATACAGCCTCTTTTCAGATGTGACCAGAAAACCACAATTCAGTTTGAGAAGTGTTCTAACAACAGGGGCCCAGGAGGCCGAAGCTGCCTGAGTAACGTTGATTGCCCCACCACAGGGACGGGACATGTGAACCAGGCCCTGAAGGGGGAGCTCCGCAGGAAGAAAGGAAGTACAAATGTCCAGGGCAAAAAGATAGGTGAAGGCAAAGACTTCAAGATATGAAAAGCCTGGGGGCGCCTGGGTGAATCAGTCAGTTAAGCATCTGCCTTCAGCTCAGGTCATGATCCCGGGGTCCTGGGATTGAGCCCCGCATCGGGCTCCCTGCTCAGCGGGAAGCCTGCTTCTCCCTCTCCCTCTGCCCCTTCCCCACTGCTCGTGTTCTCTCTCTTCCTCTCTCTCTCAAATAAATAAAATCTTTAAAAACAAAAGATATGAAAAGCCTGGCCCTTTGGGACAATGGTGAGAGCTATGTGTCTCTCAGAGATGTGTCAGGAGATGAAGTGGGGAGAAGGGCAGTGGGCAGAGTCCCGGCGTGCCCCTACTTCATCTTGGAAGCAAAAGGGAGCTGCGCAAGGAAGCTGCGCTGACATGTGCCACAGCTCCATAGCCAGGGGTGCCAGGGGTGCCAGGGATGTACCCGGGATGTGTACCCCAGAGAAGAGGACCCTCGGCCTCCCCGGGGATCCTAGGGCAAAGCTGCAGGCCTCAGCCTGGGGCAGATGGGTGCTGGCGGCCGTGCCTCTCCTCTGGTGGCCACACACTGGCCTCAGGCCTGACCCCTGACTGGTCCACTGGGAAGGCAGTTATTTCATCCCCTGCAGGTCCAAACCCAAGCCCGCTGTCCTTCCTCTTCTGTTGTCAGAGGCCAGTTGTCTGCTTGCTGTGGCTTTATTCACTTTCCACTTCCTGGAAAATCCTATTTCTCCTTCAACACCCAACTCAGAGGTGCCCTCCGGGATTTCTTCCTAGCTTCCAACTACCCGAGGGGAGCCTCCCCTTTGCAGGGCACCCCCTTCCCAGCAGCCTTGGGGTGTGCAGTGGAGGCTGGTGTGCATGGAGGGCTAACACTCACCCTGGGGAAGATGGAGCTGGTGGCAGGAGGGGGTGCTCTGGGTTCAGGCTAAGGAGGGACTTTGCAGTGGTCACAGCAGCCAGGCGAGGAGTTGCCTTCTGAGACGGGTGCTGCTGTCCAGCAGGAGGGCCTCCATTTCCCTGTCTGTGCAATGGGACTAGGTGCTCAGTGAGGACCTTCTACCTCTGACCTACAGTGCTGTGGTGCCTAGAAAGTTTTGGCCAGCAGGCAGCATGGAAGGGAGGGACAGGCCAGGCCCTGGCTAGTGGCTGCCTTGTCCATAGGATGCCGAGAAATGAGATTTTGGTGTACAGAGCATGCCGTCCTGGTACTGTTTCCTAGGGCAGGTCAGGGTCAGGGTGGTATAAAGCCAAGTACGGTGGGGGGCCCCTGGGATCCACGTCCCACAATTAGCTGCCAGGGCAGGACAATGGGCATCAGAGGACTGGGGAGGATGGGGGAGGGATCTGTGGGACCGGAGAGGGCTGCGGGCTGGGGCCAATAGTGGGCTGTGCCCCCCAGGAGGACAGGGACACAGGGGGAGGGACAGGACACAGCCCTGGGCCTCCAGCTACGCAGTCCTCTCTTCCTGTTGTCTCAGGATGGTCCTGGCAGGATGCATCTGCCAGAGTTCCAGGTCCAGGCCTCCCCCAAGGCCTGCTCCCACCCCCACCGGGATCTCACACACACGCACACACACGCGCGTGCACACACACATACGCACACACGCCCATGGGCACGCACACACTGACCTGTCAAAGACACATGCATACACATCCGCACACAAAGCCACACACACCACTTACACACCAGCCCCACAAACATGTGGGTCCACGCCCACAAACACACACACACACACACACACAAGGACCCACACCTATCGACATGCACACACCCAAGCACACGCTATCCTGCTGGAAGGAGGACGGTAGGCTGGAAGCTGCAAGGGCGGCAGGAGGGTTTTCAAGCAAGCAAAGCAGGGTTATTTGTGTGTCTGGGGTCAAGCCCTGGGGGAAGGATGAAGGAACAAAGCCTGGGGACCGGAGGGGAGCTAGGGCAGCCAGAGGGGGCTGCGAGGGTGGACAGAAGCTGATGGAGCCAAGGACATATGAGGAAAACGCCACGGGACCCGGGAGAGGGTGAGCTCATGGGCAGAATTTGGTGGGAAAGCCAGGGCCCTTGGTTCTGGGCATTTGGGGAGGGGCCGCGCAGTGCGAGACGCCCCCCCCTACAAGCAGCCGCAGTGCATCTACAGTGCAGGATGGAGGGGCCTTCCAACAGACATGTGAGGCTCACACACTCCAGGTCTCCCCCAGTGTAGGATGAGGCCTGCAGTCTCCCCCGTCGGCTTCATGCTGGCAGCTGAGCCTATGTGGGGCCAAAGATTGGGGTTCGGTTAGGCCAGGGTTCACTGGGGGCTGGGACCAGTCTGCTGCCAGGGACCAGGGCCAGGGGCACCTGAGGTAGAGATTACTGATTGTCTTGGGGCCTTGCAGGTATGGCCCAGGGCCAAGAGCTCGGGCAGCCCCTGCCCTAGGGAAGAGTATGGTATTATGGGCAGGGAAGGTCCATCAGGACCCGACTGACGTCACCATGTCACCATGTGAACTCACGACCCAGCGCCATACTAACCCTGTCTTCCACCCCAGGCCTGGCGAGTGGCTACTCCATGACCCCCCCAACCCTAAACATCACGGAGGAGACACACGTCATTGACTCCAGGGACAGCTTGTCCATCTCCTGCAGGTACTCAGTCCTCAGCCCGGGGGGACAGGGGCCTGGGTCCCCCCAGGCCAAGGGGACCAGAGAAAGCCAAGGCAGGAGATGGTAGAGGAGAACCCATGGAGAATCCCTACCAACCAGGAGATGGTAGAGGTAGAGGGCAGAGGGGCCTCAAGGCTTAGTGGGGCTCCCTGGTCACCTGGGAGTGGGTGCCTGGAGGCACGGACCATCCCTGGCCCTGCAGACACCTTGTGCCCACCCCTACCCCTGGGTCACTCCACGCTGACTCCAGGCCAGTCCCTGCCCGCCTCCCATGTTACCCCGCATGGACCCCAGGTCCCCTACACCCACCCCCAGCCACCCTCCACTGGCTCTAGGCCCACCCACACAGAGCTCAGACCCATTATGGTCCCTGCAGCCCGGGGATGATCAGCAGGCTTCTCTGCAGGCCAGCCTACCCCATGTAGGCCTTGGAGCCAGGCAAAGGCCCCGAGGGGCCTCAGGGAGCACCCTGCCCCGGACTGGGTCCACGGCATGTGCCCCCAAATTGGGCTGTTCTGACCTCTGGGTGAGACAAGCTACGGGCAAGGCTTGTGCCCCGGGGCTGCAGCTGGGGCCCCTCTTGTGCTCTCGTGTCCTCTGCCAGGGGGCAGCACCCCCTTGAGTGGTCCTGGCCAGGGGCTCAGGAGGCGCCGGCCACAGGGGAGAAGGACGGCGAGGACACAGGGGTTGTGCAAGACTGCGAGGGCACAGACACCAGGCCCTACTGCAAGGTGCTGCTGGTGCGTGAGGCCCGCGCCAACGACACGGGCAGCTACCGCTGTTCCTACAAGTACATCAAAGCCCGCATCGAGGGCACCACGGCCGCCAGCACCTACGTGTTCGTGAGAGGTGAGGGGGCAGGCCGCCCGGCCCCGCAGCTGCCCAGGAGGCACAAGCAGGGCCTGGATCCTGGAGGGCATCTGGCACCTGCAGCCCCGGGGCCCAGCCTGCGGGCCTGGGCGGGGGGGCTGCCCCACTGCCCCTCACCTGAGTCAAAGCCCCGCCTTCCCCTCCCACAACCTGCCCCCTCCCCTCAGACGTGGAGCAGCCATTCATCAACAAGCCAGACACGCTCCTGGTCAGCAGGAAGGATGCTATGTGGGTGCCCTGCCTGGTGTCCATCCCGGGCCTCAACGTCACGCTGCGATCGGTACGGCCCTCCTCCTCCCCGACCCCCGCCCCAGGATCCGGCCCCCTCCCGTCCTGTCCCGGGGAGAGGCAGTCCCTGGTCTGGTCAGGAGAGAGGGCACCGACAGCCACCATGTCCCCGCAGCAAAACTCAGCCCTGCGGCCTGACGGGCAGGAGGTGGTGTGGGACGACCGCCGGGGCATGCGCGTGCCCACGCCCCTGCTGCGCGAGGCCCTGTACCTACAGTGTGAGACCACCTGGGGTGGCCAGGACTTCCTATCCAACCCCTTCCTCGTGCACATCACAGGTACGCGCTGTCTGGTGCAGAAGGAGGATGGGGCATCCCCCAAATCCCAGGGACGGGGCCGCAGGGGCCACAGCCGGGCCCAGTGGGCACCCCGTGCCCTGTGCTGTGTGTGTGTGCCATCCTGTTTGAGGGGCGTGGGGGTCACTGTGCATGTGTCACCAGGCAACGAGCTCTATGACATCCAGCTGTTCCCCAAGAAGTCGCTGGAGCTGCTGGTCGGGGAGAAGCTGGTCCTGAACTGCACCGTGTGGGCCGAGTTCAACTCGGGTGTCACCTTCGACTGGGACTATCCGGGGAAGCAGGTGAAGTCGACGGCCCCAGCAGGGCCATACTGGAACCATCCCCCGGAGTCCCCGTCACTGCCTCCACCTGCCCTATGCCCACACAGTCCCCAGGAGTCCCCATCACTGCCCACGCCCACCCGGCCTGGTGCACATTGGCCTCTGAATAGGTGTGGACCCAGTCCTGCCCCAGGAGCCCCTGTCTGATGAAAGGGGCTGCCCCAAGGAAAATTCTGGGTCTGGGTGCAAGGCTTCCAGAGCCACGGCTGGGCTGGGGTATGTGCCCTTCGTGCTCAGTTCTGCCAGAGCCCACCTGCTCTGACCCTGGGCTTCCCCTGGGTGTGGGTAGGCAGAGCGGGGTAAGTGGGTGCCAGAGCGGCGCTCCCAGCAGACTCACACAGAGCTCTCCAGCATCCTGACCATCCACAACGTCAGCCAGCACGACCTGGGCCCATATGTGTGCGAGGCCAACAACGGCATCCAGCGGTTCCGGGAGAGCACCGAGGTCATTGTGCACGGTACGGCCTGGGGCTGGGCCGGGCGTCAGTCATCAGGCCTGGGGAACAAGGGTCCATGTGCAGTGTGGGCGGGGGTCAGAGGTCAGGGTTGCACCTGAGCAGTGTGGAGTCTAGCCAGAGGGAAGAGAGGGCAATGAGTGGACCCCCGGAGGGCAGGGCGAGCCCCAGTCTGCAGGCGTCTGGCTGCTGGGGGTGCCGGACCATGGCTGGGAGTCCCTGGGCAGTGGTGGGTCAGTGACTCCAGGCCCTGGCTTTACACGGATGCCTCCCATCTGGCAGAAAAGCCCTTCATCAGCGTCGAGTGGCTCAAGGGTCCTGTTCTGGAGGCCACGGCAGGAGACGAGCTGGTGAAGCTGCCCGTGAAGCTAGCGGCGTACCCCCCGCCGGAGTTCCAATGGTACCAGCCCTGGCCCCTGCCCCCCGCTACCCCCCAGGCCCAGCACGAGAACAGACCACAGGGCGGAACCTCTCCTCTGAAGACACTCTAAGGAACGTGCACCTAATACAATATTTAAGCCAGAGGGAAAGTTATCTTGCTACAAAACTGCGCAAGCTTGCACCTGCCAGCGGGCTGTCGTGTGTGGGTGTGCTGGGCGCCGTGCTGGGCTTCATCTAACCGATCCCCGCACCTGTTCGGTATCTCCGAGGGCCCCGCCAGCAGGACGAGGTCCTGGAGCTCTGGCCTGCCCAGCAGCAATGGCTTTGGGTTTCTCAGGCCTCCCTCTGAACAGGTTGCCACCCCCACCCCAGGCCCTCTTATCCAGAAATTCAGAGATGCCACAGGGGTTCCACAGACTGCTGTAGAGCCAGGCTCTGGGGCAGGCCTGAGCTGTGTGGCAGGAAGCAAGTTTCCAGAAAGCCCACAGGCTCCAGAGCCCCAGCTCTGGCCTGTGACCTGAGAGTAAGACCTTCCCTATGGGTGTATCAAGGGTCACTGAGGGGGGTCCACCCTTGCTAGGTGTTCCCCAAAAGCTCTCTAAGAGCTCAGGTTGGCATAGTACGCCCACACACACCCTTGGGTCATCTGAGCCTTCCGCATGGCCCAACGCTGGGAGGTCACACTCTAGCCTGACCCCCATGGTGCAGACGAGGAAACAGAGAGGTGGGGGAGGGGACAGGGCGTTCCTACCTGAGCTCTGAGCCCCCTGGGAGGGCTCTGCGTCATCCTTTCCCAGCTGGTCATCCTTTCCCAGCTGGCTGGAGGAGCCCTGCCCTTCACAGCCTGGGAGAGCTCCCTCCAGACAGGATGACCTTTTCGGAAAGCCTGGGGCTGAGTGAGCGGAGGCCTCAGACATTCTCAGCTGGGATCTCACTGTGCTGGCTGTAGGCTGGCAGCAGGCTTCTCCTGGGGGGACCTCAGGAGGCCCTGGGCCTGGACCTGGTATAACCCTACCTCTGAGGCCACAGGCTTTGGGGTCCATTGGGGGCACCTGGACAGGACCAGCATTTGGGAGGGCAGGGGGCAGCCTGGAGCCTCCCTCACACGTCGGCCTCCTGGAGACCACTGGGGCTCTGTCCCCTGCCCTCCAAGCCCAGTGGGACTCACGCTGTTCTGCGAGGGGAGCCCAGCTCTGCTGCCTCCAGGGTCTGGCCCAGGCCTGATGCTCAGGCAGCTGGCTGCCTCTCACCATTCCCACTGCATCTGGCTTTTCTCCGCTTATTTGGCCAACATCTGCCTCCAAGAAGTGCTCACTGGGCCCACTGTCCACTGAGACACCAGCCCCGGGGCACTAGTAACCCCCACAGCCCCACAGGGGACTCTTCTAGGCTGTCATGTGATGATTATAAATGAGTGGATGGAGATCTAGCCGACAGATAGACAGGCTGGTCCTCCGCTCCTAAAGCACCCTTTGTGTCCAGCCCGGTGCACACACTAAATGCTGTAACTCAGTTAAACCTCAAGACCCCTGCAAGAAAGTCCATTTTGTTTCCCCAGTGTTTAGACTGGGGACCCTGGGGACTCAGGGCCGTGAAGGGGTTTGTGTAGGATCACTGATGCTGCAGGTGGTGGACTCAGGAGTTTGCACCAGAGCCTGGCAGACGACACAGCCTCGGATTTACTCCGCCCTGTCCTGCCGTGGGACCCCGGCTGAGTCAGGTCCCTCCCTTACACCGCTGGCTGAATACCAGGGGGAAAGACCATTTCCAGGTAGAGCCTGGCTTGCAGAGTGGCTGCCTTGCAGCACTCCCAGCTCAGGCCTGGGCAGGTGCCACCCCTTGGGGTGGAAGGCATCCGTTTGTTTGCATGTGCATTTGTTTGCATATGAATATGCACTGAGGACCGCATGTACTGCTCTCCCCTAGTACGGGGACAGGGGGACAGTCTCTGCACTGCTCCATGGGGGTGACGGATGGCCAAGAGACTCACGTGTGAAAAGCAGGGTGCTCATGAGCAGGCAGGTAGAAGCAGGGCAGAGGGCAGGAGCTGGTTCCTAGGGCGGTAAGGAAAGGTTGCTCTAATGAGTGGGTATTTGTGTATGGGAGAGAGGGAGCCATGCAGGTGTCTAGAGGACTGAGCATCCAAGCAAGGTGGGGACAGCGAGTGCCCAGGCCCCAGGTGGGAGTGTGAGGACAGCAAGAAGGTCCTGTATCTGAAAAGCTCCAGAAAGGGCAGAGCTGGGGTCAGAAAGTGAGGCAGGGCCCCCCATGGGTTAAGGCTGTGCTTCTAGGGGACCGCACCTACAATCCTTCCCAGCACACACCACTCTGAGAGGCGGGGCGTACGGGGCGCTGTAGCTGGTCCCGAGCCTGCAGGTGCCGTGAGACCAGGGCAGACCCTGCAGACCATCCCCATAGCCCTCCGGTCGGCAGTCAGCTGCCCCAGCCCGAACCCCCGCCTGGTCCAGTGCAGGAGGTGGCTCTTGCTCGAGCCGGGCCCATCGGGACTCTGGCGCCAGTCTCTTCTGCCCTCTACTGCCGTTGTTGGGGCCTAGGTGCGGCAGGGGAAGAGGGCCGGGATGGGGCAAGAGTGGGGTCCACGCAGTCCCCTGAACTCCCTTCCTGCCAGGTACAAGGACAGAAAGTCAGTGTCCGGGCGCCAGAGTCCGCACGCCCTGGTGCTCAAGGAGGTGACGGAGGCCAGTGCAGGGATCTACACCCTCGCCCTCTGGAACTCCGCGGCCGGCCTACAGCGCAACATCAGCCTGGAGCTGGTGG